CGGGCTGGGGATTCGAACCCGCCACCTTAGGTGTATGTGGCTGGCACCTTAGCCGCTTGAGCCACAGGCGCCGAGCCCAGGCTTTTTCTTGATGGCTTTTATAATTCTAAGTAGAGAAATAGATATAATAGAATCTCATTACTTATAGTAGTTACGGTCTACAAAGTTATTGTGAACACTGAATTAACAAACATGAACCTTTGTTTCTGGAGAAAACACAGGATCCCTGTAGCCTCTTGTCTTGATGTATTTCTGTCTAAAGACATTTTATCTAACATACAGTGCATTAGCATTGAACTCACAGTCAGCAGTGCTGTACCACATGCTGGAACAAAGCTTATCTAGCACGTGTAATTTCTCCTTAAGGAGCATCACTACCTTGTTGCTCTTAGGAACACTAGAAAACACACACTTGGGGGCCATTTCAAACTGCAGAATCACCAACAAGAAAGACCCAAATGTAAAAAAAGGAGCACTGAACACGCCACTAAAAAGGCATTAGTTTGCTGTAGAAGTGCAGCAAGAAGGTAGAGTGTCACCTTGTTTGATCTCGGTTGGACACAGCATCAGGTGATTGAAATTTTCACTGGTTGGTACATGTGTGAAAATGACCACAAAAGCCGCACAAGTACTGATTTGGAGTTTGTAAGTAAATTTTAGTAGATACATTTGCCAATGTAGAATCTGCAAACAACATGGACCAGCTTTATTTAGAGTCACCAATAATTTTGTTGTAAATTACCTTTTACTGAGGAAGAAGCAGGAGTAGAGAAGATGATTTGTGCAGAAGCGTACAGGTAGTGAGAGACAGAAACAGGACTGTGAGTTAGTTTTCTTAATTCTTAGTCTAGCATTCTCGTATTTCTCTCTAGATCTTGGGAGTTTCTGATAACTCCCAAGAACATTTATTCTTGACATCAGTGGACATTAATGAGAAAAGTTCCAGTAAATTTTAAAAATACCAAAGTGATCCAGTTTTTACAGAACTTTCTAGAACAGAAGTAGTGAGTAGATTCTGTACTAGAAAAGTTTCCTTGACAAAGAGTGCTGTGATTGATTGGTTATGTCTGTGGAGGCACAGGGCTGCAAAGTGGCAGTGGGCATGCCACGTTTTTGGCATCTAGACTAATATTTACTCTATTAATCTATCTTCTTTGACATATAGACTTGAGGATTGATGACAGTTTCTTCACAGAAGCAACTCTTCCAAATGAAAAACTACTTTGTCATTCAATATAATTCTGTACAGATTGTCCTATATAAAACATATAATGAGCCAAGAATTCTTAAATGGCAGGCTCCAGTCCTACTTCTATCCTAAAATATTTTTGCTGTGAACATTTCTGAGGCAATTTGGCATACATTTAATTTTAGTTGTTTTCTCCCCATGTCCAGGTTTAGTTTGGAAGCCAGTGCTGGCATTTGACATTATTGGTGTACTAGGATAATGGTTAACAAATATCAAGCTCATAGCCTGCTATGGGTCCTAAGTGCTTCATCTAGCTTGCCATGTTTAATCTTCTCAGTAACTCTGAGGTACTGTTCTTGTCCTCTTTTTCTTTCTTTTTTTTTTTTTTTTTTTTTTCAGTTTTCAGCTGGGGCCGGGTTTGAACCCGCCACCTCCGATATATGGGGCCGGCACCTTATTCCTTGAGCCACAGGAGCCGCCCATTGTCCTCATTTTGGAATCAGGGAAACTAAGGCTTAGAGAATAAAGTGCCCAGTCCAGTCCAAGGTTCCTTGGCCAGGAAGTAATGAAATTAGATGGGTAGCTAGGACTTCCCTACATTTATGTTCGTACGTGGAATCATCAGCTTTGGCCCATAAGTCAAATCTAGCCTGCCTTCTACTTTTCTCAATAAAGTTTTATTGGAATACAGATGTCTTAATCTTCTGTAACAGAATACCTTAGATTGTATAGCTTAAATAATAGACATTTATTTCTTACAGTTCTGAAGGCTGGGGAGTCCAAGATCAAAGTACTGGCCAATTTGGTTCTTGGTGAAGGCCCTTTTTTTGGCTTATAGATTGCTGTGTTCTCACTGTTTCCTCACACGTCAGAAAAGGAGAGCTAGTTCTCTGGTTTCTTTTTTTTTTTTTTCCTTCTCCTTCTCCCTCCCTATAGTTTCTTCTTATAGAATACTGATCCCATCATGGGAACCCTAACCTTGTGACCTCATCTGAACCTAATTATACTGCAAAGGTCCAACCTCCTAATACCATTACATAGGGGGTTAGGGCTTCAGCAATTTTGGGGGGGGGGGTAGGGAGACGTAAACTCTCAATCCTTTGTAACAACCATGCCCATTTGTTTAGGTATTATCCGTGGGTATTTTCCCATTCCTATGTCTGGGTTGAGTAGCAGCAATGGAGACCACATTCCCAACAAAAGCATAAATACTTAGTATGTGGTCCTTTATGAAAAGAGGTTGCTGACCTCTGCTCTTAACTATTACCCTGTAGCTATGGCCTCTATAATAACTGAAACAGTCTGTTTCTGCGACTTCTTGTATGTATAAGTGTGATTTCAAATGGAAATGTTGGCAGCCCGCTTTATTTGCTCATTGTGGGTCTTGAGGCTTATAGTATATGGTTGTCTCTCTTTTTAGAATGGAAGCTTTCTGGAATTTAAGAGGTACACCGGGATTTTTACACTAATATACAAAAATGCAAAATGGGTCATTCTTTTTATGGCATTTAAAGTGGCTAGGTGCTTCCTGGACTCTAACTGGAAAAACTGCTCTTCCCCATAGTAGCTGCCCTTGCCAAGCCTGATTGGCTTTTCCTAGTACAGGTGAGGTAACTTCTGTCTTAGAAATGGGAGGCCAGCGTGTAGGGGTAAAATTTGGTTTTGGCAGAATTGAAGCCAGCTGCAGACACATCCACTTTGCCATGTCATTTCTCAAACTTAGAGGATGGGGGTGGCAGAAGTGCCTCCAGGTTTGGTTTGCCATGAGTACAATTAGTTGACTGATATGTGTTGTGCCATTTTATTTGTCTCTCTCCTATAGAGGCATTTACACACAGGATTACAGGGGACATCTCTGTTTAAACTTCCTTGGACACATGCCTAAGTTTCTCTGGGTCAGAGCTAACTCTTTGGATTCTTATCATTGGGGCAAAAGAAATGGAACTGATTTCAGAAGAGTAGACCAGTGAGTTGGAATACTTAATTTGTACCAAATATATTACTGACTTCAGCATCTGTAAACTGACCACACAGTATGTTCCCTTATGCACTGGGTCTAATAAGGGCATGCTACAGTGTATTGTATTTTCATCATCTTCCCCTCTATGCCAGAGTGTCTCTACACAAGCCCCCTCAAACACATGTACCAGTCGGCCAGCTGCCCAAAGTCCTCCCTCCTCTGTCCTTCCCACCCCCTCATTGTAACAGCAAGGAATAAGGCGTCTGTGTACTTGGGAGAGAGTAGAAGAAGATGGGGGTGGTGCCTACAAATCACACAGGACCCTAGAGGTCCCGCTCAGAACTTGTGGCTTTGGTGTTCTCTTTGGAGAAGACAAACTGTGAGAACAATAATCCCATCTACCTTATTACTGTAGCTCCACCACCCAGAACAACATTTGGCACAGGGAAGGACAAGAAAGCAGAACCAGAAAAGCCCCACAGGACACAGGAACTCAGCTTTCTTCTGGCCCCATCTCTCACTGCACAGGCAAGAGAGGAAAATCATACTTAAAACCCTTTCCAATTTGAAGGCTAATATTTCCTTTAAGGAGTCTGTAGGAGGGAGAATACTAATCATTCTTTTTCATACTTCAATTAAATATCCAGTAATTCATCTCCATCTTTGCTTTGTTCAACAGAGATTATTTTTCAACATTCACATTTTAGGAGCTCCTAGACCATCTCTTTCCAGGGCTCAAGATATATCTGAGTCCAGTAGGAGTCAGAGTAAGCAGTGTCAAAACCCAAAGCTTATTTTCCAGGTAGCCAGCCCTGCCCTCCTACGAATGGTGCATGTGCAGCAGCTATGGGAGGGGTGAGGCAGAGGGCACCTTCACATCCATACCCTCCCCCCCTAGAGGTGCTGGCCTCTCTCCTGCTCATTCTGTCACTCAGTCCCATGGTATTCTGTTGCTACTCTAAGCCACTCTCTCAATCCATTTTTCTTTGGGCTTATTGAATGGCAACACCTGGGAAAAGCCATTGAGAAATAGCATCACACCTTTGCAGGGGTGGCCATCGTCCTCCTGCAGTGGTGGTGGCTCTGTAGATAACCTCAAGAGCATGAGTCCAGGTTGTGTGGGTGGTGGGAAGAATGTGACTAGCCAGAAGCTAAAAAGGGTAAAGAAAAAAAATGTATTTTTAAGAGTCTTTTCCAAGTCACTGGAAGCAGAGAATTCCTTAGAGTTCATGTATACATATGCCCAGTGAGTGGGTCTTTTATCAGATTGGTCATCAAAATAACCTGGATAGCTTGGAGAAAAACACTGATTTCCTGGGATCCTCCCCTGTAATTTCTGGAGGGGGGGTCAGAGCTGAGGTCCAGGAGATTATAAACTTCAGCCCAGCTTAGGAGTCATCCTACCACTGTCTTTTTTGAGGTCCCTTCCAGCTCTCAGATTCTCCACACTGAAATCAGGTCTTGGGTAAGGTGGCACCGGCTGGCAGCCTCTGAAAGGTAGCCCTGTCTAAACTGGTCTTAGCCTGACAGAGGGGGCATAACCTAAGTAGCAGCTTATGGGTGAGACACACAGTTTGATAACATAAGTGCAGAATGCAGTTACTGTTTTTACTTTTATTTTTGGAATAAAAAATGTGACTGATTTATCATTGAGAAAATGAAAAGAAAAGATTTACTACAAAGTGTCTCGTCTCACCCCTGCCCATGGTTATTGAGTTCTCCCCTCAAGCAAAACATGTTATCATTTGTTTCTTAGGTATCTTCCCATTTAAAGAATAAATGTATATATAAATTTGTATGGGTTTTTTGAGGTACAATTAACATACATACAATTCATCTATTTAAAGTGTACAATTCAGTGATTTTTAGTTTATTTTAACCATCACCACAATCTAATTTTCTGACCATTTTTATATACTCATCAGCCTTCATTCCTCACACTTCCCTACACTCTAGCTCTACTTTCTGTGTCTGGTGTGTACAATTTTTAATCCTTTGGTATTTTGCATAAAGATTTTGTGCTGGGGAGTGTTCTGTACCTTCTTTATTAGACATGGTGTCACCACTACAGGGACCTTCTGTCCAGAGACAGGACCGAAGGCTGTACTCACAGTGTTTGAGCCTGCCTGACTCTTGGGGAGCAGAGAGATCTGTAGGAACAGCAAGTTAAAGGCCAGGGTCACTGCCTGTCTTTTGCTGTTGTAGGCTGCCATGGTGGCCTCAGTCCTAGCCAGGCAGAAACTGTAATCTCTGTTCTTTATCTGTTTAGAAACTTATCGCCTATGGACACATCACTGGCAATGCCCCCGACAGCGGAGCCCCAGGGAAGCGGCTGATCGACAGGATTGTTGAAACCATTTGCAATTGTTTTCAAGGCCCTCAGACTGATGAAGGAGTTCAGTTACAAATAATTAAGGTATTTCTGTTTGTTTGCCTGGTCTGGTTTCTAAATTAGAAAGCATGTCCCCTTTGGGAATTTGGATTTCTTATTTACCATGTGTTAGTTTCCTCAGCTAGTGCTGAACTGGAAGAGAAAAATTTAAACATCACTTAGGTTTTTTGTTAGGTATCCGAACTTACTAGCATGGACTGAGACAAGAAGAGCGAACTCACCTGTGTTTGCAAAGTGAATAGTTCTGCTATTAAGTCAGCTTGAAATTTTCTGGTCTTTCCCCTGAAATTCTGGATTCCCAGTCTGAGGTTTCTCAGCAGGTCTTCTTTGATACTCTTTTTCACCAACTCTCCTCTGTCTCCTTGTTCCCCATTTCGCTTCTCTGTTCCCTTTCTGTTGCCAGGAATGGTTTGGCATGGGATATTACCATCTGCTTGTCTGAGAACAGGATTGGGACAGGGACAGCTAAAGTTCCAAATCTTGAGTCCTGAATATATCAGCTTTAGGAGGAGAAGGCTTTATCTTAGCTGTGCCCTTCTTAAAGCTCTCTTGAAAATGCACCAGGGAATTGGGAAACTGACCACCCATGGAAACATGTATTTTGTGATTAACCAGGGCAAGATCAAATTGGAGTATTGTTCATTTTGAGAGAAGTATCTCTTTTTCATTCTAGATTTTTCAGTCAATATTAACATTCCGAAGTTTGCCTTTTTAAAAAGTGAGCCAGTAGAAAACCTATTTCAATACAATGTAATTATTTCAAATAACTTGGATTTTATGAAGATAATTATTTTAAACTCACTATAGGGCTTTTGGCACTAATCATCCTACTTAGTTTGCAGGGCCAACTTAAAATTTGTTTATTTAAAAAAAAACGCATACGAAAAACAACGCCAAGACCTCTGGAAAAGTTGGCCTATAGGAGGCTAGGAGGTTGGTGGGCATTGCTGATGGTGAAGGTTTCTAATTTGTGTCTTAGGCTCTTCTAACCGCAGTGACTTCCCCACACATTGAGATTCACGAAGGTACTATCCTACAGACAGTGAGAACATGTTACAATATCTATTTGGCCAGCAAAAATCTCATCAATCAAACCACTGCCAAGGCTACCCTTACTCAGATGCTTAACGTCATTTTCACCCGCATGGAAAACCAAGTGGTGAGTAGCAGCATTTGGGCGGGGAGGAGGAGGGCATGACATCACTGATGTCTGAACTCTTTCATGTGTGACCACAGTACTTGTGAAAGTTGACTAGTATTTTAAAGTGTACCACTTCCTACAAATTCTCTGTATGGTGCTTTTATTCTTGCTTTAAAAATCAGAGAGAGGGCAGCGCCTGTGGCTCAGTGAGTAGGGCACTGGCCCCATATACCAAGGGTGGTGGGTTCAAACCTGGCCCTGGCCAAACTACAACAAAAAAAAAACAGCCAGGTATTGTGGCAGGTGCATGTAGTCCCAGCTCCTGGGAGGCTGAGGCAAGAGAATCGCCTAAGCCCAGGAGTTGGAGGTTGCTGTGAGCTGTGATGCTACAGCACTCTACTGAGGGCAATAAAGTAAGACTATCTCTAAAAATAATAATAATAAAAATAAAAATTAGAGAATCTAGCGTGGATTTTGAAGTTTGCATCGAGAGTTTGCTTTGAGTTTGTTAAAGGAACTTATTTCCTTTTTTTTTTTTTTTTGCAGTTTTTGTCCGGGGCTGGGTTTGAACCCACCACCTCCAGTTTATGGGTCCCGGCGCCTTATTCCTTTGAGCCATAGGCGCCACCCAAGGAACTTATTTCCTTTTAAAATTTTGATCCTTCTGGCTGGAAATTTTTTAAGCAATAGGCTATCATAATTTTTGTTCCTTTACCAAAATACTGGGACCACTTAGATAGAATTCCTTTTCTTATTGCCTTTTAGTTGCAGGAGGCCAGAGAATTGGAAAAACCAATCCAGTCAAAACCCCAGTCCCCTGTGATCCAAGCTGCAGCAGTATCCCCAAAGTTCAGTCGTTTGAAGCAGAACCAGGCACAAAGCAAACCAACAACTCCTGAAAAAATAGATTTAACCAATGGTGAACATGCCAAGAGTGATTCTGGAAAAGTGAGCTCAGAAAATGGAGATGCGCCCAGAGAAAGAGCCCCGTCACTATCAGGTATGGCCTCATGTGCTGTGGCTACGCCTATCCAGGTGCTGGGGGAAGTCATCCCACGTAGGGGCAGATGCGGGAAGTGTTTGGTGACATCTGAAGAAAACCTCTGAGAAGCTTTTCTATTTCTGGGCCTTCCTCTTGAGTTCCCCTTCACTTTTCTCTTAGGGAACACAACCAGTGAGGCATGAGTATGGTGTCCCATTGTCAGCTGCGCAGTTTTCTCTTAAATGGTTCCTGGGGTTTCTGTAACTACTGCTTCTTTATGTCAGCCTCAGTGCTGTGGATTCAGTTTGGGGGCACTTATCTCCCAGTAGTTAATTAATTGGAGATTGGTAAGTCATTCAGTGTCATCCAGAGGAGGGCAAGAACCTCAACTGTCATTACAGACTAATGTCCATGCCTTGCTCGGTGCCTGGCAGTTAGGAGCCATTCATAGGCATCGGTGGAAGGAGCCAGAGGTGAGTGAGTGGTTAGTTGGCTGGAAAAATGGACAGATAGTTTTGTTTTTTTCTTGGTGACCAAGTACATCACTAGTTTTTGTTAGCTTTTTTAAATCAAAGAATACCCCACACCTGAATATAGCCTTAAAGTAAATCTGTTAGGCAAGAAATCTTGGATTGAGTTGTCAAAAGATTATTTCTGACTCTTTATATGTTTCTCTAGAAAACTTGTATGAACCAAATCTAAAAATCTTACTTTTTCAGGAATTTACCTTTCCCAAGTGATTCTGTGAAATAATTCTTCATTCAGGCTGGTTCTTCTACACAAAATATCTGATTTATACTTATATTAATAGTCAATTTCATCTCTTCTTCTGAAGAGGAATTGATAAGGATTTCTATTGGTAGTATGTTCCCTATAAGAGAGCAGCTTTTATTCCTTTCAAATTTGCCAGGATGCTTGGCATACCTGTGAATAAACCCAAGTTTTGTTGCTGGAATATTATTTTGTATCCAGTTTGTGCAATGAAAACACAAAGAGAAAGTTGTCTCCAGGAATGGCATTTGTTTCAGGGTGAGCATGGCATTGCGTCTGCTCACGCCTGTCGTTCTGTATTTTAACTGTCATGCTGTAATATTTTAAGGACAGTGCTTAGGCCCACCTTCTATATCTGTTATCACCTACCTTTGCATTCCTTAGATCAGGAGCCATTTTTTTCTGTAAATTTATCAAGCTGTGGTCAGTCAATAAATATTAATATTTAAACACACTATAGTGAGCAAAGCTGGGCAGACGTATAAAACCCAAGACTCTGAGCTGCATGAAAATGCTTCCACTCTAGCCCATTTTCTATATAGTGGCCAAAGTGATCTCTTAAAGTATGAATTATATCATGACCCTCCCCTGCTCAAATCCCTTTGGTAATTCCCTGTCCATCCCATTCAGAGTGAAATCCATGCCCATCCCAACCCCACAGCTTGCAAGATCCTGTGTGACCAGGTCCCTGCCCACTTCTCTGTCCCCTTCTCCCCTTGTTAAACCTCTCTCTTCCTTGTCTGTTACATAATACATAGGTGCTGTTTCTGGTGATTGAAGGGCCATGCTTGTTCCTGCCTCTGTGCCTTTGCACTTACTGTCCCTTCCCCATTCTCAAACCCCCTTTAACTCAGGTCTCTCCGATCGCACTGACAGAGGCTTCCCTGATCACCCTCTGAAGCTCCTATCACATCTGGTTTGTCATCTCTTTTATATTCTTCATAGGATTTATCCATACCTGAAATTACTGAAGGGCTATGTGTGTTTGTTCCCGGTCTGAGACCCAGGCTGCCCCGTTCACCTCTATATTCCCACCACCTGGAATAGTGCTTGGCACACACAGCAGACACACAGTAAATACGCTTTTTGAATAAAGGGAGAAAAACATGATTTCTAGATGACACTTTTTCAGAAACCCAATAACTTGAAATTCTGCACTAACAAAGAGAAAATAACATGGAGTTAGCCTATCCCTGTGGATTTAGTTGCTAGTACTTAGTATATTCCATGAGGCTTTCCCAGGAACATGGGGATCAAATTGCCTACAGGAAGCAAACCCAAACCTGCCAACAGTGGGTCCGAATAGAGTGCGCTGTCAACCATTATAAAGGGCAAATGGGCCAGCAAGGTGGCTTGGGCCCACAGTTCCAGCTTCTCAGGAGCCTAAGGCAAGATTATCATCTGAGGCCAGGCATTAAAGGCTGTAGGGCACTGCGATTGTACCTTCTGAACAGCCACTGCACTCTACCCTGAGCAACCTGGTAAGACCCTGTCTCTAAAAAAAATTAAATAAATAATGAAAAGAACAAATGACTTCCAGCTCTCAGGATTAGGCTCTAAAGAAAAAACAAGTACTCAAGAAGAGGGGCTTGAGCAGGCTTAGAAGTAAGGGAGTAAGGACAACCTGGTAGGCAGATGGTGGGGTTGCTGCCCAAGGAAGACAGTGCCTGAGGCTGGAGTCCAGGCAGTAGAGGCCCAGTGAGTACACTAATAACAACAATAATGTGGCTACTATTCTTACCTATTAAAGTCTTCCTGGACATGAGACACCATTATGGAGCTCTCCTGTAGACTCTGTCCTATGGTCCTCACTATCGTGTAGCCACCTCAAACTGGGCACTTGCTACACCTAACACTGTGTTCCCTAACTGGGCATTTGACATATCTTTTTCAATTAATAAGTTGCCGAGTTGTATTTCTTCTTGATAAATGATTGTTTTCCTGTAAAGGAGCCATATTGGTGTATGGTGGGAATATCACAGCAAAAAGGTGTGCTCCCTGTTGTTTTTTTTTTTTTAATATTCTTATATATTATTAAGTGCTTAGACATTGGGCACAACCCAACCCTGGTTTCTAGGAAACAAGCATGTCACACTTTATTGTTGTTAGATGTCGAAAGGTGGAAAGGTACCGCAAAGAACCAGGCCAAGTAGAATTAACAGCAGAGGTTTATTAAGAGCATCTGCAAGACCAGCTGCCACTGAAAGTGGAAAATGCTGACAGCGCTGAGTTAGGGTAAGGGACCTCTTCTAAAGCGATTCAGGGTGTGGTGCACGTGTAGCTCTGGAGGTGATGGGCATGCTGTGACAGAGATCAAAGGGCACCTGCTGGAGACCTTATAAAGGGGCTGAGGGTTGCCTGCTAGAAGTCTTCTGTAACTTGGATGGAATGTTTAAACAGAACCAGAAAAGCAAGGAGAGTTCTAGGACTTCCAGTCAGGATCTGCTAATTGGCTGGTTTGGGGGCAGAACCATCAGTCCTTTGGGCCACTATCTAGGTGGGTCAGTTACTAGAATGTAGGACCTTGGGTAGAGTATCCAAGACCACTTGAGTTAGTTCCTTGATCTGGGTGGTTCTATTCCTGGAATATAGGGCCTGAAAGATCCCAAAAACTACTCCTAGGTTCCAAACAGGTGGTGTTCTGTATGGGCAATTATGCGTGACTATATAGTAAAGAAGCAACAGTGATTTTTATCAAGCAAATGGAGAATGGCTGGTTGCTATTATTATTGTAGATAAGCCTGTTCCTTTGTAGAGTTCTGGGGGCCCTTATTCAAATTCTTGCCTTGTACCCCTTCATCAGTTTGTAAGAGTGGTTTCAATTCCCCTGTGGGCTTTTATCCATCCTCAATCCTGAGATGTGGGCAAATGAGAAGGGAAAGGGCCTGTGGCCCATCTGGCTCCTTCAGACTGACATGACTGTAGTCAGGGTTATGTCCAGGGTAGTTAGTTGGGAGTGCTGGGGACTATGGCAACAGAGTATCAGCAGAGTTCATGCCCTGGCTGAGGAGGACAGTTTCTCCTGGTTCTAGCCAGTTATGACTCAGCATTGCCCCTTAGTTGGGTGTTTTTCAGTAGAAGTCAGATCTGTTTTTTGAGTAGTTTTCCAGATTTTAAATGTTGGCAGCCAATTCAAAAGTTTTAAAAAGCAGTGCATAGGCTAGACAATAACCTACCAGCCAGATACACCTGCAGCCACCACTTTGTAACCTCTGGTCTAACTTAGATGGCCTATAGCTTTGATAAGATGAGGCAGTGTTTCTTGGGTTTTGAATATAAACAAGATGCATTGTACCTTTTTGGAATGTATAGTACAGATTAGAGACTGCCACCCATAATTAAGTCATAGTATCAGAGAATGTTAGAACTAGAAAGAAGCTTAGAAATATTTAGTCATATGTTTACTAAATCATGGCATAGGTGAGATGATTTTAGGTGGCTCATAGGTGAATGGTTTATATTTTAATAGTTATTTTAACATGTATTCAGAAAATATAACTAGTATATCAAAACTTATTTTGTGGATTTTATTGCTTGAGGTAAATTAATTTAAAGAACACTGTTAAGTATATATAGTCATGTGCTGCTATACAGGAGTCCATTCTGAGAAATATTTCATTAGGCGATTTCACTCTTGTGAGAGCAGACATCAGAATACACTTGCATAAACTTCTTCCTTGTTACTTCTTCATGGTAGCATTTGGTTTAAAACACAGTTTGTACAGCTATACAAAAAAATTTTAATATCCTAATTCAATAAGCTTCTTTATTTTTAAAGTTTTAAATTTTTTTATATTTTTAAACATTTTTATTAAAGTCTGACATAAACACACAGATTAGCCTAGGTTTACACAGGGTCAGGATCATTAATATCACTGTCATCTACCTCCACATCTTGTTCCACTGGAAGGTCTTTGGGGGTAATAACACACAGAGCTTTCATCTCCTGTGATAATAATGTATTCCAGAATACCTCCTGAGGGACCTGCCAGAGGCTTTTTTACAGTTAAGTTGTTTTTTATTTTTTAAGAGATAGGATCTCACTCTGTATCCCAGACTAGAGTGCAGTGGTGTCACGGCAACCTCAAACTCCTGGGATTAAGCAATCTTTCTACCTCAGCTTTCCAAGCAGCTAGGACTACAGGTGTATGTCACCATGCTTGGCTAATTTTAAAATTTTTTATAGAGACAAGGTTTCACTAATTTGCCTCAAACTCCTGGCCTCAAGTGATCCTCTTACTTTGGCCTCCCAAAGTGCTGGGTTTATAGGCATGAGCCACAGCACCTGGTCAACTTTATGTTTTTTTTATAAGTAGAAGGAATACACTCAGAAATGACAGCTAAAAGTATATTTTAGTAGGCACATAAACTAGTAACACAGTTGTTTATTATCATTATTAGAGACTGTGTGCTGTGTTTTGTGGTACAGTAAGTTTATTTACCAGTTTATACCAGCATCACCACAAACATAAGATACACTCTGCTATAAAGATGTCACTAGGCAGTAGGAAATTTTCATCTTCATTGTGACCTTATGGGACCACCAGTGTATATGCAGTTTGTTGTTAACCAAAACATGATTGAGCAATGCAAGACTATATATATGATATATATACTATAAGTGGAGCATGACTATGGGAAAGCTTATGAAGGTGTAAGAATGCCTAATGTTTCGGTAACACTGATCAAGTCTTAAATCATCTCTTTAAGATGAAGTGAGTTTAGAAGATTGTGACTGTGGGCTCGGCGCCTGTGGCTCAAGCGGCTAAGGCGCCAGCCACGTACACCTAAGGTGGCAGGTTCGAATCCAGCCCGGACCCGCCAAACAACAATAATGGCTGCAACCAAAAAATAGCCGG